TAAGTGCTTGGACACTTTTACACAACTCTCTTTTATATATATAGATGTTGGCGTATTCTCCACATCCTCGCTTATGAGCAGATAGGGGACCGCCAAAATTTCCTTGGTGCTAGAGCATGTTCGTGTGCAAAATAAGTTACCCTTCAGGGATGTTGGAAAGTTTCCTACACTTTGTTCATAACAGCCAGCAAAACTTTTATGGAGGAGCGTAATGTTTACTTTTGTACCTGTGGTGTGCTTGCTGTGTAATTAATTTGTATTGGCTTTAACACGATATTGTAAAGGTATTTGTGGTTTTCCAAACATTTGACGCATTACCATAACTTTTATACGTTTTATAGCACATGCCTCTAGCGGGACGCGATGATTTACCATTACAAAGCTGGCTATCTTCTCTAGCAATATCGAGAACAGCATATCCACGGTTTCCTTTATATCCAAATGATTGCCTATTATAACAGGGGTGCTCTCGCAATACATACGCTTCCCTAGCACTGTCACATGAAACCCAATCGTTACCTCTAACCGGTTCGCCCCATAGTTCAGGAAACGGAGTAGTTGAGGAACAGCTTCGATACCGGCTTCCAATAAAAATTCATTAGTACGACTCCGTGCGCTTTCATCACACAGAAAAAATGTTTGAATACGTTGTAATTCTATGCGCTTGAGCAACTTCTTCTCTTCCAAGCTTAATTTAATGTGTTGATTATCGGAAACATTTAGCCAGTGATGACTGTAGGGCTCATTTTTTCCGACGATATTGTGACACGTCTGGCATTCAAAAATCTGGTTATTGATGCAACTTTGGTGTCGAAAGGTCCTTGTATTTCCTACAGTTTCAAATAAATAGCGCGAGCTAACATGACGAGACATTATGAATTCTTTAAGTCGACTGTTATAGTAATGCAGGGTGGAATTAGGTTATATAGAAATGTAGTGTAGCGCTACCTGTGTCAGTATAATATTCATCGGCCATGTATTATTTGCAGCTGCATTTTAGAAAAAGGGATTTATTTTATGACTTAAACTATATAAATATAAATGCATTTAGGACGAAAAAAAAAATATAGGATGGCAAAAGCAAATCTATCTAAACATATGTATGTATGTTATTGCGAACTGTTAATTCGAATTTCGAACACCATTTTCTTAGAATTCATGCAGCACTCTAGTACATACATACATACATACATACAGGTATTGCTTGCAGGTATTAAAGGAGGGTTTAATTCTTATTAATATTTTAGTTACTTGTACCATTGTTAAGTTTTAGTCTCACTTTATTTAATAAATATTAATATCAAAATACTTTTGTCCACCCAAATAATGATAATCCGCCATGCAAATAAT